TTCGTGGTGCCTGGCTGGAAAGGTGGTAATGGAGCAGTGGAACAGCAGGGCAGAGGCAAGACTTGAGGCAAAAGTTAGTATGAATTTGAAGAAAAACAAAAGCAATTGAAATGGATAATATCATCATAAAACAGGGAAACACTAAAATGATATATAACTGCATTTGAGAGGGATGTGTTGGAGGATCTTTTGACAGCATTTCTCAGTATTTCTCTAATCAGTGAAGTCTTGTGTAAGAACACACACACACACGCATGTTTCACAAAAATCTTTTTGAGAGGGGGACTAAAGTATTTTCTTCCTGTCAACAAAGCTGACTATTACTTCTTTTTCTACTTTTGTTGCTGAAAATATTGGGATTATTTGCTGTAATTGAGTAGGGCCATGTGACTTAACTCTTGCCTCCCATTTTATGGTGGTTGTTATATTTGTTGTGTGTTTTTCATAAGCTACTGCAAAATCCTTTGGGAATGAGGCAGAATGTAAACAATATTATAAGATGGTAGTTAACACTTAACTTGAATTTTGAGTTGTCAGCCAGTTTCACTGGTGTTTTATAGAAATGGTACTTGTTCCTTCCACCTTCTCCTGGCTCTTTACTTTCTAAGTCTCAACTTTCATATAGTCTCCTCCAGGGATGGCATTATGAATCCCTGGGTTGGGCTAATTACCACTCTTCTCTTTCTCTCTCTCTCTAATAAAAAGGTTATTACCATTATCCAGTGATTTTGACATTATCTCCCTGCGCCTACATTTCTCATTCATTTAAGAACAGGAATCTGAACCATACTTTCCTTGTTTATAGTATCTTCGTATGTTTCTGACACATAGAAGGTACTCAAAAGTGTTGAAATGTGAGTTATCTTTCAGTAATAGCATGCATGTGTATTGCATTGATAATAAATTTGATAGGATCAGTAGTTGATAATGATTTGTTAATTTGGTATGGCTTTTGTTTTGTGCTCTAACAGTTTTAACAGGTAGAAATTTCTGAGTCAAGTTATGTGAGTCTATTGATTTCAAATCTTAAACTTGTAATATGTATGTATAATGATAACAGAATGAGAATATGCTCTGACTTAAATGCACTTTGTAATTATATAGTACACTGCTGGGGTGACCCCAGAGGGTCCCATCCTTTGTCCTGTGGAGCCTTTTGTCAGGCTGGGAATGTCATCCTTAGGCAAAGCTAAGAGCCCTGCGTGGGCACCAGGTACCACTTCTGGAAGCAGTTCTGGGTTTTCCGGATTGGCTGGGGTAGGCTCCCGCATTGGGGAGCCTTGTACACCTCCTTCTCCCTTCTCAGGGCCTTTGGTTGCAGCCACTGGGGAGGCAAATTCCAGAGTAAAGTCCCCGCCCATGGCTGGGTTGTGGGGCATTCCCCCAAGGCTGGGCCTCATGCCGCCAAATCCTGGGAACATGGCTCCATAGGCCATAGGGCCTCCTCTCCCTCCCTGAAACAAAACAAAACAAAACAAAACAAAACAAAAACATTCATCAATGACACCATTTTCACATGCTATTAACTATACATACAATTATACTTGGTCATATTCACTGAGAATCTGTGAAAAACTGATGGAGAACAGGGTGTTGGCTGACAGCTTTGTGTAAGCAGATTTTACAATGAACTGACTGAAATGTAATGGAAAGTACGCCACACCTATCTGGGTGGAGGACAGCCACTTCTGTGTGTGTGTGTGTGTGTGTGTGTGTGTGTGAGAGAGAGAGAGAGAGAGAGAGAGAGAGAGAGAGAGAGAGAGAGAGAAAGAAACGCTTCGTGGTGCCTGGCTGGAAAGGTGGTAATGGAGCAGTGGAACAGCAGGGCAGAGGCAAGACTTGAGGCAAAAGTTAGTATGAATTTGAAGAAAAACAAAAGCAATTGAAATGGATAATATCATCATAAAACAGGGAAACACTAAAATGATATATAACTGCATTTGAGAGGGATGTGTTGGAGGATCTTTTGACAGCATTTCTCAGTATTTCTCTAATCAGTGAAGTCTTGTGTAAGAACACACACACACACGCATGTTTCACAAAAATCTTTTTGAGAGGGGGACTAAAGTATTTTCTTCCTGTCAACAAAGCTGACTATTACTTCTTTTTCTACTTTTGTTGCTGAAAATATTGGGATTATTTGCTGTAATTGAGTAGGGCCATGTGACTTAACTCTTGCCTCCCATTTTATGGTGGTTGTTATATTTGTTGTGTGTTTTTCATAAGCTACTGCAAAATCCTTTGGGAATGAGGCAGAATGTAAACAATATTATAAGATGGTAGTTAACACTTAACTTGAATTTTGAGTTGTCAGCCAGTTTCACTGGTGTTTTATAGAAATGGTACTTGTTCCTTCCACCTTCTCCTGGCTCTTTACTTTCTAAGTCTCAACTTTCATATAGTCTCCTCCAGGGATGGCATTATGAATCCCTGGGTTGGGCTAATTACCACTCTTCTCTTTCTCTCTCTCTCTAATAAAAAGGTTATTACCATTATCCAGTGATTTTGACATTATCTCCCTGCGCCTACATTTCTCATTCATTTAAGAACAGGAATCTGAACCATACTTTCCTTGTTTATAGTATCTTCGTATGTTTCTGACACATAGAAGGTACTCAAAAGTGTTGAAATGTGAGTTATCTTTCAGTAATAGCATGCATGTGTATTGCATTGATAATAAATTTGATAGGATCAGTAGTTGATAATGATTTGTTAATTTGGTATGGCTTTTGTTTTGTGCTCTAACAGTTTTAACAGGTAGAAATTTCTGAGTCAAGTTATGTGAGTCTATTGATTTCAAATCTTAAACTTGTAATATGTATGTATAATGATAACAGAATGAGAATATGCTCTGACTTAAATGCACTTTGTAATTATATAGTACAATTTTAAATTTGGTTACTTTAAAAAAACTTTCCATTTTTAGTTCGGAATTTAGTTCGGAATTGTGATACTGTTGAATTTGCTATTTTGTGGGTTTAAATGTGCTAGGTCCCTAGAAGGAACAGAAACTCTGTATGAACCCCATACCCATATATTTGTTTTGATTTAAAGTGTTTATAGTTCAGTGGTGATGGCCTTTTTGGGGAGTTTCTCATCTGCTCATATATAAGGAATCCAGCAAGATCCTGTGCTCAAAAATAGTCATCACTCAGAAAGGAATTCCTTTATAGGATATCTGATGAAATCTTTAGATACTGCTTCAGAAACAAGGTTTTGATTTTGGAGTGGAAAAATCTGAGCGTCATGCTCTATATTTTGCTGCATTCATGGCCAGTGTCTCCTGAAGTCAATCATCTGTGGCTGTTTTTTCTAGCCATTAATATTTTTTCTTAAAGAATTATTTTTATTTAACTTTATTATTATAGTATTTCCAGTGAGACACACACACACACACACACACACACACACACAAAGAGAGAGAGCAAAACTCCAGGGCCGGGACTCAAACCATGGTCAGCCCTGTGGGAGTTCAGCATCCTTAACCACCACACCTGCTGGCCCCATCTAGCCTTTATTTTAAGAAGAGTTAGAAGATATTACTCACGGCCATTTCTTCTGAACTCATGATGCCTAGTCTGGCAGGGGCATTCTGTTCAAAAAGAAGCATTCCATCAAATTAGAAACCACCTGCCTTCTATTACCTTTTATCAACTCAAGACAAAGTTAAGTTTTTCAGTTTTCCCTTAAATTTTAATATTAATGCTGTGTTCAGAGGCAGTGTAAAGTGGATAGGAGAATAGTTATTGAATAAATGCAGCCAGCTTATGTAATTGAGATCTAAAATTTAAGTACCTTTTAAAAAGTCTTTTCTCCCCTTATTTATGAAGGGGAGAAAATTGTGGCAATGCCACAATCCCCTTCCTTCAGTCCTGCAGCTCATCAGATTCTGGGTGCTCACATGTGTGTGTGGCGTTTCAGCCTCACTGGACTGGGGATTTGAACAATCATTGCCACGTGGAATCTATCTTCTCTTTAGTAGTTTATCATGACTGTGTCATGGAGTTGGTGTGCCTTTTCTTTAATACCATTCTGTGTATATGTGTGCATGTGTATGCGAAGAATTATCCAAACAGGAAGTGTACCTCTTTACTATTTCATTTGCTATTGTAGGCATTCAGAGAATATTTATTTGGAATCTCTATGTGAGGCCTGGATTTTTAAATTTTAGCCATAAATGATAATTAAAAATACTTTTTACAGAGTATGGACTTACCAATTGATTTGCTCCATAAGACATGTAAAACATTCCTGGATAAATCTAAATAAAATACAGTGGTTACCACAAAATACATATTTTTTTCCCCAGGGGAAAAAACTTTTAAGTAAATTGCAAACAAAGAAGTGATTTTAAAAGTAGAAAACTTACTTGAGATTGCTTGTTTTGTGGCATTGGTCCCCGAGATATCAAGCGGGCTATTTGGAATATCTTCAAGTAGCAGAAAAAATAGAATAAGTAATTCACATTTGCTATAGCACAGGCAAATCCAATCATTTCTAACTTACATGAAACATATTTTCAGGAGGATTAGCATGAAACATAAGTATTTAATATTTAAGAAAACAAAGAAACCCTATTATATTTTATATTCATGAGTAAATGGGACAGTTTAAAAGTCTCACCCTTCTTTTTTGAAGTATAGAGGTATTTTTCCCAAAGAAGGTGTATTCTTGGGATCTGTACTTACTGTTGGCCCAGGTGGAACAGCAAATTCCAGTCTTGGTAGCTATGTAGCAGATAAATATTAAAATTACTAGTAAAAATAGATGAAGTGAACTGATCACATGCTTATTTTATTTATAATTATGTAAAATAATATAAAATGAGTTTAACTATTTTACTTTCTTTCAGTCTTTTGGAGGGTATGACCTAAGAGTTTACTATTATCTTTGACTAGCATGACTCAGTTGTACTGGCAGGGAGGGGAGGCATGTCTGTTGTAGGTTTGCTATTTTCAGAGTTTGAATACTGGCTCTGTCACTTAGTTTTGTGTAATCCTGGACAACCTTTTGTAACCCCCCAAAGTCTGTCTTATTCTCTTTAAAAAGAATTACAATAACTATTGATGATAAATAACTCTTGATAATAACAAATGATAATAACTATTGAATGATAATAACTATTTCTATAGGATTGTAGTCAGGATGATATGATATGAATGTTAAAAGCCCACAACATACAAGTTAAGTGGTACTTTCCTTTACTGTCCATTGCTCTTTTCTCTACATTATTGCAAGGTACTTTTAGCATGGTTGTTATTTCTGTCAGAGAAAGAATGCAGAATCCTACTTCTCTTGCTGAGGGATTAGCCACTAGTATTTCCAACACTGAAAAGACTGAAGATACAATAGGAAGCCTAGATTTCTCTGGGCTGGGCTGTTTTTTCTAGAAGCTTTCATCTTTCACAATCAAGGAACCAACTTTTACAGGAATAGAATCTTTCAAAGTCCATGCCCCACCTCTGATGGCAAAGGACAGGAATGGATATTTATGTTTTACCCAGAAAATAAGTCCCAGATATGAAAGAATGATTAAGAACATATTTGTATTTCCAGGCATTATTTAAATGTTCCCTGCAAATTGGTTTCTTTCATTAGATTACTGAGTGATATTGATCTGCCTTCAGGGAAAGGAAGTACCTCAGGCTTTGGTGGCTTATCGGCTGGTGCCACCTGCTGCTGAAGGGCTGGCAATTCTGCTTGCTTCAATGGCAGCTCTTCCAGGCGAATTGGCGGCTGAAGGCCTCCCTTCTGTGCTGTGGCCTGGATGGCCGTTGCAGCAGTGGGCTGGAGGAAAGGTTTCAGTCCTGGCTGTTGAGGCTGTAGGGATGGCTGTGATGGGAGAGGTGGGGGATGTACAGGCAAAGAATATTCATACTGCAGAGAAATTTGAAAAGAGTGTCAGGAAGGGATGGCTCATTGAACTGGTCTGCCTAGAATGTCTACAGCAAAAGGGCTTGAAAGGGAGGCTAGGGGACTGATCGTGAAGCTGTGTTTACATAGAAAGCACTGATTTACTTAGTGTTATTTGGAGTGGTCTTATATTTGCTTCCCTCTTCTGTAATATCTCCTTTGAGGCTATTGCTGTCATGAAGATGGGAGGCTACCTGAACTTACTGGTAAAATGAGTCATTTCTTCTTCTGACTGTATGTTTCTATTTTAAAAGTCTTTCATTGGATTATAGGTATTTGCTGTAAACCTTTGTCTCTCAATTAACTGAGAGAGAATACTATTTACTTTATTTTCTCTATAACCCTAATTATAGCTTCTAACAGGTACTTGACACATGGTGGGTACTTAATATATTTTTGAGTTAGTGGAAGGATAAAGGTAAATAATACCAACCAAATCTTTGTATCATGTAGTCTTTTAGAAACAATCAATTGAAGAAACATTCACCGTTAACATTATTTATGTTCTACTAACCATGGCCAGGTGGGTAACATTACTGTTGTGGAAGGTCATCTAAACTTAAAAAGCCTGCTAAAACCACCATGTCTTGTGGTTTTTAGAGATTCCTTGTGGTGAATGGTTCCTGTTGCCTGTAGGTAGGTTGCAAACTCCTCAAACTGGCTCCTATTACTGTGGAGGCCTCACAGTAATTTGGCTCAGCTTTGCCTCTTCAACTATCACCCTATTTCTCTCCTGTGGCATCCATCACTTATACCTCACAATTTAGCACCTTGAAATATGTTGTTGTCTTATCTCTCATTTGGGTTTGAAGTTTCCTGAGCCTTGGGGTATTCTTAAATATTTTCACTTTCACTCTTAAACCACAATTTATTTAAAAAGATTATTTATTTGATGAAAGAGAGGGAGGGAGGGAGAGAGAGAGACAGACAGACAGACAGACAGGCACAAATAACAGGATTTTGACATGTTGTGATCTCCTCCCCCAGACTTCTAACATACAGAATCATAGGTGTGAGTGGGTGCACCTGGTGTGTTTTAGTCTACCTGGGATTGAACACCACCTTCATGACTGCCCCCATTGGCCATGTGGCTCCTTCATTGCAGATTGACACCATTTGGCTGAGCTCAAAACTACAATTTAGTTATGATTTATTAGGCAGTTAATAAATAATGGTTAAAGATTAATGTATTTATTATTTTCTGTAGGCTTTATAGTGTTTTAATGGCATCATTTCAAATAAACCTTTGTGTAATTATTAAAGGAATTTTTGATTAAAATAAAAATATCCAAGAGATAGCTAGCTTCCATTTTTTGAGGATTGTTTATTGTTATTGTTAATACCTTTGGCATAGGTCTCTTGCATTTTGGAGGCCATATCTTATTATCTGAAATAAATATGCAAATGGTTTGAATATTTGGATCATCTTATTTAAAAATTTCCCAAGTACTAAAAACAATCATATGTTTTGATTTATTTGGTATTTGGGTATTTGTTTGTAAATTGTTAGTACTCATCTATTGCTAGTAGATCACAACTTATAGAAAGCAATTAGGTAAAGATTTTAAAACCTGAAATTTCAAATACATTGATGCAATTAACTTACCTGCTGAGTTTCATGTTCTCTTGGTCTCATCCATGGGAAAGAGGAATGTGGAGGAAGGAGGCCTTGCATCCACAAAGAATTAAATGATTTCCCAAAGCCATATCTAGAATACTAAAGATAGGGAAGACAAAAAGATGCTTATATTTTATTTTAGTTTTTAAAATAAAGTAATTTTGCCAGAGCACATGTGCACTTCTGGGGTGGCTGGATAGAAAGCACCTCCATATGGAGGACGGTCACGTGACAATCCCTTCTCCTCCATTTCTTCCTTCTTTTAAGATTTTTGTGCACACATAGACATATACCTGGTGTGTTTTTCAAGCTACCAGGTCCAGAACTCAAACAGCACAGTTGGCCATATAGGATCCAGCCACCCTAACCATCACGCTACTAACTGGCCTACATATGTATGTATGAATATATAGATATATTTTAAAATTTTATTTTTATTATTGAAACATTCTTATTTTTTTAAGCATTCAATCACTATAATCATTTAACTTGTAAAGAGAATTTACCCAACATGAAATATATCTCAGACAGTCTAGATGAGAATACTGTACATTTATCAGCAATAGATAATAAACCATTTCTGTGTCCCACAAATGTGTTGCCTCTTTACTTTTTTCTCCCTGATTTCCTTCCTGATACTATTCCCTTTTCCCACCCTCCTTCCACACTGTTTCCTCCATCCATAACTATTTTCAATGCTTTTGTGCCCTTCATTCTTTCAGTCTTTACCATAGAATATGGGCAGTCAGTATATATTTAGTGCAGACATACATTATCTTTCTTTCATAGCCTTGTTTCACTTAGCAATAAATCTTACATATTTGACCACTGTCTATCAAATGCCAGGGTTTTGTGGTTGTTTCTTTTTTTATGACTGAATAGTATTCCATAGAGTATATGTGCCACACTTTTCCAATCCATTTATTTGTTTGTGGACATTTGGGTTGGTTCCATGTTTTACCAGTCATGAATAATGCTGCAATAAGCATTGATGTGCAATCACTTTTCCAGCTGAGCATTCTCTTGTCCTTTGAGTAGATATCCACTTATATTTTAATATCACATTAAACTTGGTTTCAAATTTAAAAAAAATGTGTAAAGAGCAAAAGTATAAGCAATGTTAGTTAATTTAAAATTGATAGGTAAATTTTCCTTTCCAGTCGACTTAAAGTCCAATTTGAACCAGACTGTAATATCCCCATAAACTTGTTTGAAATTAAGCCTTTTAAGCACTTGTGTTTTGGGCCACAAAGTAAAATTGATAATGTTAGAAAAGTTAATTATTTATGTAAATAAAACTCAGTATTGTTTTTATACCCTTCCCCATCCCAGTCATCTCGTGTTATTTTGTTTTAGAATATCTCAATTACTTATTTGTTCTTCCAGGATGTTGGATATTGTCTATTCATATGATAGTCCTCCCCCCTACCTCCTCCCCCACAGTCTCATATTACAGTTCTCTTGTCACAACCTCCCAATTAGCAAGGATTACAAGCACAAACAACAGCACCTAGAATGTTCATGCTGGCCCAGGAACTGAGCCTGGGCCTCCCATATAGCTTCCAGCCTTCCAAATTGTGTTGCTATCTGCATGCCACTACAGTTGGGCCCACACACACATTTTATGAATTACAGTGTTGCTACTAATATTACTACCACCACTATCATTAATACATATAATAAAAATATTTTAAACTGATTACCTGAGAAAGTGTGTTTAATCCCTGCAAACTCCCTAACTGCCTCATTGTCTGTTGAGAAAAAAAAATTGGTTAGTTTTGATCACATATGTTCCTTTTAGCATAACTAATTTCTCATGACACATGAAATTATCAGTAAAAGGTTTGGGGTAGGTCAATTTAAATAAAACAAAAGTAGCCATATATTACTGAAAGACAGAGAAATGTTCAATGTGGTTCTATCATTGTTGTTACTATTGTGATTAAAATAGCAAGTTTGCTTTTATCATTAATTAAAAGAGAAGAAAATATCATTTAAGTGTGGGATCACATTGAAACTTGAGAAAATTATTTATTTAACTAAAATATAAATAGAATTGTGAGTACATTGCTTTGTTGACTCTTCCTCCCCTTATTTAACTTACTTTGTTCTTTGCAAATTCAGCCCAAAGAGGGATTTTAAAAAACTGACAAAAAACTCCAAAACAACTCTCACCTCCTTCCTAAATAAAAAAAGTCCTTAAAATAATAAATATTTAAAAAATTGGAAAAAATAGTAAGCATCTGGATTGTCAATAATGCAACCATTTCAACAGAAAGTCAATTTCATATTTTAATGGGAAGAGACTTAGAGTGTTTTACATTCTATGTGAAACATCTAGCCCATACAGGTGTTATATTTATTGCACTCAGATTGTCGTGATACAGAAAATTTTGCAAGGACTTGTGAAAAACTTGTAATCTCATAAATATCTTTCTATTTATAGCTGCCAATTTTTCATTAATGTGATCAAAAACTTGTATTTTGCTTAAGTACTTTTCTTCATAGGACTTTTATCATATAAGATACTATAAGGAGCAAGACTAAATATAAACCATTCCTAGTTATAGAGAAATGTGTTTTAATTAGTGTGGTAATTATATTAGTATAGTACAGTATGTTCCCCCTTATCTGAGGTTGAGCTTTCTGCAGGTTTGGTTACTCACAGTCATCCATGGTCTGAAACTATTAAGTGGAAAATTCCAGAAAGGAACAAATAATAAGTTTCAAATTAGGTGCCATTCTGAGTTTAATGATGAAATCCTGCACTAAACAGTTCCATCCCAAATGGGAATCATCTTTTTGTTCAGACTACCCACACTGTATGTGCTACTTGCTGCAAAGGTCACTTAGACGATGTCTTGGTTATCAATGGAAGAAACATCCTATATATAGAGTTCTTGTACTGTCTGTGGTTCTAGGTATCCACTTGACATCTTGAAACATTCACCATGGATAAGGAGAGGACTACTATAATCAATGTGTAATATGTACTTAATGCATTTTAGGTATTAATGGTATTGGTTTGATTTGCATATGGATGATGATCTAAAGCTTAAAACACCCAAGTTTTAAATTATAGTAGAATTATAAGATGGAGCTCTAATAAATGTTAACTTCAGAATTGCTCAGGTTAACAGCCACATAGATTTCTGACTAGGAACACTGAGAAACAGTCTGTCATATTTCTTTCTTCTCAGGAACATATCAATGTAAAGATTATGTATGTAAACACTCAAATAAAACATACCTCCAGGCTCAAACTAGCCATGCCTGGTGTCCCAGGTTGCTGAGGAAACATCTAAATGGAAATAAGAATAGTTTTGAGTTCTCTTTGGTGGAAAAATTTTAAAGTGCACATGAGGAATAAAGTCATTCCTGTATGTAAGGGTCGAGAGCCCCCATATTGGCTTATTATCCAGATGACTTGAGCTTCTGTGAAGAATTTAAGTTATCTGTGAAAATTAACATATAATAGTATTTAATAATTTCGGTCATCTATCCATTCTCTACATCTTAATGCTATGTTCTCTAAAAGCAACGTTTGATGTAGTTTAAAGTTGCACCAATAAGTGAAATAAAACAACAAAATAGAAAACTAACAGTGTTTTATATTCTTAAAAAGTTATCACATATAAAAAAAACAGGACAAATAAGAGATTAATTTTTGTGTGCTTTTAAGAAACATACCTACTTTTTGGTTTATAGAATGTGGTATGGAATGTCATCCAGAAAAATCATGTGTAAACCTAACTTGCCTCTCATTCAAAGGCCAACAGCAAATCTTGCATTGCCTTTAGTGAAAGATTATTTTATGTACAAACATATTGGTCTATATTTATATTTTTAGATCAGATCAAAGATATTTTTCCTTAAGCAAAAACCATTCTAGCACTAAGGACTATTATACTTAATATCTTCATAATAATAGAATCACATTTAGTTGACTGAAAGGGTTCTGGGCCTGGTGGATTTTATATGTATGAGAATATTTCAGTATATGATAGAGTAGATTAGGTGTGGGACAGTAACATACATTTAGCCCCATTGTCATAAAATGTTTTGATTTAAGAAAATTCATATCTTGGTCACACATTTTCACCTCTACAAAGTAAATTTGTTAGTTTATTACTAGCTTCAAGTAGAAATACCTAGCTCAGTTTTATAATCATAGTAATTTAGCAAATATTATCCTTTTTAAGATAAAATATGCTTCACCTTTACAGAGAAATTCTCTCTTTCCATTTCAATTTTATAGTGATAGCTAAGGACTGATAATAAAATTGTGCTATGGCATTGTAGAGAGTCACCCAAGTCTTTTAACTCTGAATAAGGAGAATAAGACTTAGAAGTTGTCTTTGGAGTATCTCTTTGAATAGAAAAAAATTATGTTTGATTTACTGCTTTTTGGATGGTAAGGCTGACATCTAGGAAATTATGATTTATTTATTATTTTGGACAAAATCTTGCTCTTCCAAGATCTCCTTCCTCAGCTTTTTGAGTAGCTGGGACAAGTGTAGGCTATGTCCTGCTTGGCTTTTGATTTAATAGGATCTATACTACTAGATTAAGTCAAGTGAGCCCACACATGAGCTCTCAGCCAATGTCCCTCTGTAGTGTTGTTTGGTATCCAACAATTGGTAGCTTCTTCTAGGATACATTCGAGAAGATCGACTTACCGGTACTGCAAAACACATTTCCAGGAGGCACAGGATCAGTATCAGGTCCTTCATTTTGCAAAGTGGAATCTAAAGCATAAATGGATTGAAGAATTAAACAAATTCTGAATGGTTAATGACTATTTAAAAAAATGAGCCTAAGGTTTTGCTCTTCTAAAACATCTAGATTAAAATGAAAAACTAAATGTTGTTAAGGAAGTGATTTGTACTTTGTAGTGTTGAGAATGAATTGAGAAGCCATTAAAAATATCAAAACAAAACTAACTAAATAAATGTTAAGCAGTTTTTAAAAAAATGACGCTATAACATAAATAAATATGTAGGAACAACTCCATGGATAATCTTTAAATGTGCTTTATTTTGTAAAGTAAATTATAACTTAAAAATCCCTTCCAGTAAATAACATATTGATCTATCAACTAGTCACAGAAGTTTATACTTTGCTTATGTTCTGAAACAAATTTTGAAATGCATTTGAAATGTAATACAATTAACAATAATTTTACAACAAACCTTTATTTGTAGCTATATGGGATATATCACTTGATGTTTATCTTCATAACCATGCCAAAACTTATCTTTTTCAAACAAGAGTAAATTGAATATTTTAATTTCCTTTGATATTAGTGGGAAATATATCTCAAAATTTAGTTTTCTGAAATGATTTTCCTTTTTAAATTTATTCTGTAAAGTTCAAAAGTCTCTCACATGAATAGAGATTTGACTAGCCAAGAGATTTGCTTGTTTTTAAATACTTTTATAATTTAGGCATTGTCACTAATAATTAGAAATAGTAAAAAAAAATCTAAACATAGTCTCCTTTTGCTTAGACAGATGGATATTAGGTATGTCTGTTCTGGATCATGCTAACAGATCACACTAAGCTATTATTCAATGTCTGGTGACAAATGAAGATAAATCTTCTTTCTAAAAGCTTCCTGGATACAGGAGAAAAGAACTTATAGGAAACACATGGAAATCATAAAATCACATTTTACCTTAGATGCTGACATGCACTGTGCTCTCAGGGCCTGGTGATGCCAACCAAGATAGTTCTAAGAAAAGAAGATTTAAAAAAAGATGATTTAAAAATTTTCAGAAGTGTGCCTGGAACTAGTTCTGTACTTCTTACTCAGAGAAGATCAGAAACCTTTATTTAAAGTGCCAATCCACCAATCAAAGTGAAGCAAAATGGGGGGAAAAAAATCTCTACTCCTGCAATTATTCTACACCCTTTTATTACATGCAAGAACTTTGGCCCAATATGATGTTATTATTTTTAATTGTAACTCAGCCCCTGTATTTATTCAGGGAACTCGATTGCAGGGAAGACAGGGAAGGAATAATGAACATGGGCTCTTAGGACAATCATTTTGGTGAGCTGGGGAAAACATGTAGAATAGGTGCAAAACAAGCCATTATTTGCTTTGTGCAGGTTTTTATCTGCAGATAAAGCTAGTGACCTAATGCCATCATTCTCAAAATCTTCACCCTCATGATTGTTGTGGTAAGAACTCCTCTCATTCCACTCACTCCCCTCTCAAGCCACAACATAGTCTAGAAGGAAATACTGAAATGTTTTCCTGGACTTGAAAAAGAAGATGAAAATATTGGATGGACAATGTGTGTATTGGGATTTTTTTCCGCTCAGTTTTTCCCAAATGTTTTCATATTTGAAGATAATTGATTAGAGATAGCCAAAGCTTTTGTAAGAAATTTTGATTGGATGCTTTGCAGTAATCACTTTGGGTAAATCTTTGATGTGTGCTTTTTGTGTGGAGAGGGATGTAAATAAAAATATTCTCCATGACCCAGCAAATCAATGGACACACCTTTTAGTTCACTCTCTTGATAGACTAATTTCCAGGTTTTAGTTTTAAGCTGGTCAGACAGCTATAGTGGGTCCCTTGAAATGTTAACATCAACATCATGGTTTCTCCATGAACAAATAAGAAGGTCTTGATTGTGCATTGAATGTAGGCTTTGCTATTCCTCTGCCCCTCTGTGTCTTTCCAAAGTTGTGGTTTAGAAACAGTAGGGATAAGCATTTAAGATTAGTTTCTAAAGAAGGGATGAGTCAGTACAGTTTTTAGGGAAGTAGGGATCTTGCCAATTACAAGGAACATTGAGGAAGCTGGTATTTTGGAAGAAAAAGATCTTCATACTCAAGTGGAAGCCTAACAGTTTCAGATAATGTTATCTAAGAAGGTGCTTCTGGAAAAACTCCATTTCCCACTGATAACAGAATTTTCTTTAAGATGCAAAAAAATGAAGAATGTGAATGTGTTTTGAAAATGGCAACATGTTATTGAGATGATATGTATTATTTTTTGTGAATTTTATGCTCCCACCTGATCCCAAACACGTATCTTCTAGATCTGGTGCTAGATCAAATCCCTTAATCTCTTTGAGTCCATTTCTTCTTCTGTAATATAAGAATGATAATTTATTACCACAGACCTGTCTTGAAGATTTGCTGAGATGAAGATGTAGCATCTGCCACACTTTGACTGCTCAATAAATTTTTTTTTTTTTTTTTAATGTGAGAGAAACTACGTGAACTATGAGGGCACAGGAAGCTGTGTGTGTGTGTGTGTGTGTGTGTTGTGTTGAAGGTGGAGGAAATCTGGCAGTTAAGTCTATGCTCTTTAATTTTTTTTTATTTTTAATTTTATTCTTTTTTTTGGAGAGGTTTTTGCTATAGGGCAGGTGCACTCGCCAGAAAGACAGATAGAGACAGAGAGACAGAAAGCGAGAAATCACCCCCCCCAGGGGGGATGGCCACGCCACAGTCTCTTCTCCTCTATTCTCCTCTCAGGATCCTGGGCATGCACGCACACCTGCCTGGCGTGAGTTTAAGCCACCGGGTCTGGGACTCAAACTGCGGTTGACTACATGGGAGTTCAGCAACATAGCCATTATGGTAACTGCTGGTCCCAAGTCTTTAAGCAAGGCTTTAAGCAAGATAAAGGAGGGACCTGATGGAAGGTGTTACTTCTGTGAGAATGTTGTGCTGAATCTGTGGGACTGAGCTTTCTAGGGCTACTAAATGGGGATTGGTGTGTGTGTGTGTGTGTGTGTGTGTGTGTGTGTGCACGTGCACATGCATGTGTCTTTTCCAGTTTATAAGTATGATCATAACATGCCAATAATGATGTTTTTGTGGAATTCTTATGTTTTGCTTTGCTCTTAAGCCAAATATCCAATATATCATAGGGGCTATTGCTTCTTTTTTCACTGCCATACTCAACCCTGGATCATTGTCTTCCAGATATTTATTTGATAGTTTCTTTCTCCTCCAACATTTTGTATACTAACACCAAACTTTATCTTCCTAAAATATTGATTTTGGCATTTCACTGTCCCATTTGAAAACTTTTTAAGGAATACTAAGGCAATCATATAAAGCTCACTTTGTAACTAGATAATCAATTTAACTTTGAACTCATGTTTCCAGTCTTAATTCTCTCTTTATGTGAGACATATAGTATATTGATATAGTAATAATGATTGTTGCTGTCAGTTGGAGTTCGTTTCATTTTTGCATCTAGTAAAACTTTTTTTTATCTTATGTGATGCATGTTACAGGAAAAGTTAATAAACATAATCCTAATACAACCTATGAAAATGTTTTAATTATTAAGAAATCCAGAAATTAGGGAACCAGCAGTTAGCGTAATGGCTATGTCGCTGGACTCCCATGTAGTCGATCGCGGTTCGCGTCCCGGACCCGGTGGCTTGGAACTCACGCCGGGCGCGTGTGCGTGCGTGCCCAGGATCCCGAGAGGAGAATGGAGGAGAAGGGATTGCGGTGTGGCCATCCCCCTGGGGGGTGATTTCTCGCTTTCTGTCTCTATGTCTCTCTCTGTCTGTCTGGCGAGTGCACGTGCCCTATAGCGAAAATCTCTCCAAAAAAAAAAAAAAAGAAATCCAGAAATTAGTATGAGTGTATGAATGAGTTTATAATAATGATTATACATGTTAAGGAAATGACTAAAGCTGATGGAAACCATGTTCTATTCATCAAGATTATACCCATACAAGAAACAACAAGAGCACAATAAAAAAAATTAACAAAATGCTAATGTCCAGAATATGGCCAAAAAAAACCCAAAAAACAAAACCTCCCCAAAACTCAGAGTGACTGAAGATCTGAAACACATGAAATAACATGCCTCAGAAAACATTAAAAAAAAAAAAACGTAGAGAAAGAAGATCCAGTTTAGATGTTAACATAGAGGCTGAAAATAGTTATTAAAATTCCCTCTGTGTTGCTCACTGATCATAGGACATTAGGTGGCTGTCTAGTATGTAGCAAATGTTCATTGATATGGGTTATTAGTCTTGTTGATAAAAGAAATATGTATGCTGAAAATCTGCTTCTTAATAGACTCTTTTTTAGGTTTGTTGAGGCATTAGATGTACAAAAAAGTGCACACATTTACTGTATTTTAATGTATACCTCTTGATGAGCTTGTATATAGACATACACCTATGATAACATCACCAAAACCAAGGTACCAAACATATCAATCACCTCCAGAAATTTCCTTGTGTTTGTGTGTGTGTGCGCAAGAACATTAACCTGAGATCTATTCCCAATGTATTTCCAAGTACATAATATACTATGATAACTGTAGCCACTATGGTGTATAGTAGACCTCTATAGGCACTATGTTGTATAGTAGACCTCTAGAGCTTGTTCATCTTGGGTATGGCAGGTGGCATGGTAACTGAGGCGCTGGAGTCCCACCTGGCTGACTGTGGTTTGAGCCAACCTAGTGGCTTGCTTTCTCACTTGCCCTTTCTCTCTCTCTCTGATTTAATTAAAAAATAATAATAACAAATAAAATTAATAATTCTTTAAAAAGAAAAAGTACTTGTTCATCTTACATAATAGAAATTTTATACTCATTGAAAAATAATTCCCTATTTCTCCCTTTCCCCAGCCCTTGGCAACCATGATTCTGCTTTTTGCTTCTGTGAGTTTGACTCATATAAGTGGAATCATGCAGTATTTGTCCTTTTGTGACTGACTTATTTCACTTTATATGGCGTCCTCCAGGTTCATTTATGTTATAACATGTAGCAACACTTTTTTCTTTTAGGACTAAATAATATAAATATTTATTCTCTTTTTCCCTTTATCTGTCAACTGATATTCAGGTTGTATCCTTATCTTGGCTATTAGGAATAATGGAGCAGTGGACATGGGGATTTTCCTTGGACTCTTTTCTTACCTGTTTACAGCTTGTTTTTCCAAATCCTATTAAAATTTTACCACTTCTCTGATTCTTCCCCTCGCCATTTCACTCCACTGTGATTTTTCCCTTCTCTATTTCTTAGACAGAGACACAGAGAGAAAGAGATAATGAATCTCCATTATGCACTTGATGGCTCAACCCAAACTTTAGCCTTCATCTGGCCCAGCTCTGTATCATGGGCAAGAGCATGCCCAGCATGACCTAAACTGGTAACCTTCCCCTGTGGAGTTGCCTTGCAGAGTATTGTGTTTTACTGCTGTGCCACCATCTGGCCCTCTTATTATAGATCTTTATCATTCACTTTGTAGGTGGTCTTCTAAAGTTTTGAATATGGTTTTGATCTCTTTTCAGCAACATAAAACACTACTATGGGGAAGAAATCACCCATTCTACACTCTTGCATCCTTTGGTGTTCTATGCACATCATAATAGTTAATATTTGGGTAGTATTTATTGAGGACAGGCATTGGTTTGAATATTTTATATATATTGATTTATTTAATCCTCATAAGAATTTTATGGGGGCCAGCAGATGGCATAGTGAATAAGGCACTGGACTCCTACATGGCTGACTGCCATTTGAGTCCTGGATCCAGAGGCTTGCAACTCATGCCAGGCATGTGTGCATGCATGCCCAAAATCTTGAGATGAGAAAGGAGGAGAAGGGATTGTGGGATGGCCATTCCCTCAGGGAGGTGTTTTCTCACTTTCTTTTTCTCTGTCTCTCTAGCAGAAGCACGTGCCCTATA